AAATATTATTTTTTAAACTCGAAATTTTGAATTTATTGATATCTCAAAATGAATAAATATTCAAAATATTAAAATTTAAAAAATTTTAATTTGAATTTCAAATCAAATATTTATTCTCGCTGTTATTTCAAATTGAAACCTATTTCATATAAGATTTTTGGTGCTTAGTTTGAAATTCAATTAACTATAATTTTTAACTGAAAATTAGTTGGACTATGTTAAATATAATAATCAAGTGATAAAATCTTCTTCAAATTAGAATTTGTTACTTTTAAATCTCTTACTTTAAAATAGATTGAGGACCATTAAATTTGATCGAGTAATTTATTTGAAAATTAATTGATTGGGCTTGTGTATTCCAAATCAACTCTTTCCCTAGACTTATTAGCAAATTCAATCTACTCACCTAAATATATTGTAAATTTAAATTAAATAAATTTTGGACAATATGATGATTTATGAATTCAATATTCTATTAAAACATTTAATGCAAAAGTGTTTGGCATCTAATCTAAATCTTTTAAATAGCGTTGACTTAATTAATAATAATACAAAAGATATTTTTTGATTCATGGTATAAAACTGAAAATAAAATAATAGAAATTCAATATAAAATAAATAAATATTGTAACTAGATCAGAAATTTGAGGTAACTCAAAAGAGAATGACTTTTAAATCCATGGTTTCTCAAACCCAAATTATGCTCAAGACAATTTGGGATAATTTATCAGAATCAATCAATCAAATATTCGATTGGATTGAAAAAGTTGATGCTGAGAAGAATGAATATATGATGAAGATGGAAAAAATTAAAAATTGGTGGGAGTATGAAATTAAGTCTTTTAAAGAGAAATCGAATGAAGGAATTAAATAGATTTAGTAATTCATTAAGTAAGTATTTATCATAAATAAAAGTAGGGAACTAGCTCATGAACCAAAAAAAGATCTGCCAGAGATTCTAGCTTAGGTGAAAAACATTGAAATATCAATATTTAGTAGGATTATTGAGATGTGTAAAAAAGAAAAGATTTCTAATTCTTTAAGATTTCTTTCAGAATACAATACACTAAAACTCTTTGAACAATAAAGTAATAAAGTAAAGTATTCAAATGATAGTATAAATTAAATAGAAGTTATTTCAGAGATTCTTAAAACCATTTATGAACATGAATTTAATAACAAGGATTATTTTTAAAGAATATTATTTTATAAACTATAGATCTCATAAAAAAAATATTTGATGAGCAGAATATCATAAATTTCTTAATATTTTTAGTTAACTTAACAGCTAAAGATAACAAATTTTTTTAAAGTGGATCTAATTCACTAAACATGTTAGTAAAGATGAAAGTTGATTTGTCGAATAAATGCTTTGAAAACATCAAAATTTAAAATACCTCTTTGATTGGTGGTAATTTTGTCAAATGCAATTTGAGCAGATCTGAATTCAACAATTTAGACATAAGCGGAATAAATTTGAATGGAGCTCTACTCTTTAATTGTAAATGGAAAAACTTGAAAATAAATACAAGAATTGAATGAATGCAATGGTCATACATGTCCTGTGTGGTCTGTATACTTCTGGAAGTTACGATAAATCTATCCATTTATGGGATGTTAAGACAGGATAAGAAAAAGCAAAATTGGATGACATAGTAATTCAATTTGGTCTGTTTGCTTCTCACCTGATGGAACTTCCCTTACATCTGGTAGTTTTGATAACTCTATACGTTTATGGGATGTTAATAGCAGAGAACTTTAATTTTAAATGGAGAATTTGTGAATTATTAAGGAATAGATTTACGATCATTATTAAAACGTAAAGGGAGTATTTTTTTTTGAATGTTAACAGATAAACTAATAAAAGTAATAAAATTTATTATTAGAAATGTTAATTATATTTGAGTTATTTATTAATTTGTCATTTCTTTTTAAATTTTTACATTTTTGTAAAGGGGGTTGAAAGACCTAAAACTAAAACAAAACGCTCTGATCATAAACACTGGACATCTGAGCCATAGAAATTTTATTACATTTCTGCTGCTTACAATCAACTCCTATTGGTGAAAATATCCCAGCACATTTAATATTAATTTCTTAATAATTACTCTAAGGATCATTAAAACAGATTTGGCTCTGTTTTTTACTTATTTTTTTCAACATAATCTT